TTGCACATAAGAGTGGTAATTTTTTGGCTTCAGGCTTCATGGTCAAGTTGCCGTAAGCCAAGCTATTTTCATCCAAGATATCCTTCCAATCATGTACGAAGACCCTCTTGACGGCCAACCACAAAAACAAGTTTGTACCAAGATCGATGGATGGGTTCGCATGGTGCGGTATTGTAAATCTCGCGCGATACATAGGATTGCGAACAGTTTCGCCTGTGAGGAGCAAATTAACATGTTGGAGTGCATTCTCAAATACCTTTCATGAATGAGACTTCAATATGCCCCTGAAAAACTTTCGTCTCTGGGTCGAATTGCAGGACAACTTGCTCATTCGCCATCCCCCCGAGGAATTTTTTTTGCTCCGGGTCGAACTTGGCTTTACCAGAAAGAATCTGGTGATAGAGGTCCATATGCTTCTTGGCATCGTACTGCTCAAAAGCCTGATTACAGGAAAAGGACGAAGGCCGCAGGAAAAGAAACGCCGCTATTTCCATCCCAACTTTGCAGCGCATCACCTTTAACTAGTCAACAAAATCCTGATGAAAAACAATTACCGAAAGTGGCTTTAACCTTTTAGAAGTCAGTTCGCCCTTTAGAACGCGGTCGACAGCCTCACAGAGCTCAATGAGAACATTTATCGATAAGGCTTCACATCTCTGTGGTGTTTGTATAAAGATTCCCTGCGTTGTTAGTTTCAAAGAGGAATGATTCAAACCCGTAACAGCCGAAGGGTTGATTCCACTTTCTTCGTGAACTCAATAACGTTGTCCTCGGTTGTCTGAAACTTTTCTCCCTTAACATGAATCCTTGCCTGTTCCGCCCACGCCGAGATGTACGCTGTTCCTGTACTCACTTGAAGTGGGGGAACGGACGATTTTTGTGACGGCTTGCACATAAACATGGCAAATTGCTTGGCGACGTCATCGTTCAAAGCTGCGGCAATGACTGGATTCCAGCAGTCCTCTAAATCCCATTTTAGGCTGCAAAATCGGGCCCACCACTGTTCTGCACAGCGACGAACAGAAATCGTGTTCGGCGAAAGATTCAAATCATCAGATACGTTGGCGGCAGCAGTCTCGGCTTCCTTAAAGTCGTCCAAAGTTCGCATCAGGGCCCACGACTTGCTAAACCGGCCCCTCGCATCTCTCGTTAAATACGAAGGAAGTCCCACATCTCTGTCGGCGCCGACATCTTCGAAACCAATAAGCATCATGGCATCCAAGGCTAAAATCAGAACTACCGACCTGCTGCTGATACAGCCTGAGGCTCGTCACCACGGGATGACGTGGTAGAACCGTTCTGGGCGTCTGATGAGGTCCCGGATGAACCTGGTATGCAAACGAAGTTCAGTTCAATTCAACAAACATCTGAAGCCCGACGCTAATGATTCCATGCCTACCTGCAACTGCAGAGGCGCTTGAAATGTTTGTGATATCCTGTAATGGTCCTCTCGGTACCAGGATGGAACGACGTCGCATGCCTCGATGGCCAAAGTCAACAAAAAAATTTTTCTTTCTCACGATCGCAAACTGAAACCACATCACACGTCAGCACAGCAAGCGAGCTCCGCCCAAGTCTTCTTGCGTTGAGCTAACGATCTCTCCCGCAAGAAGTTACAAATTAAAGACATCTCAACGCAATAAATCCATAGCCACTACAGCCTCAAGTTTTTCCTAAAGATCAAAGGAGAGATGAAATGATTCATCAGTGCCGGTGCAAAGGTCGCGGCACACCATCGCGTTGCCGTCCATGCCCGCAAATCTGTCTACCCCATCAACGTTCAAACGAGCTCCGTCGTCCAGGTCAGCCTCCCAGTCCGTTGGTTTCGTTACGGCAGCATCCGCCACAACCGACGCGAAGTTGCGGACGAACATCCAGAGCCGCACAGAAAGCACCGACGGCGTGCCGGATGGTGGGTGCTGACGTCTGGCGTCCGGTCACAAAGAGTTGAGTTCAGAACATATTGACCTGTATCAAGTGTGTCGACGCTTTTCGGAAGCTCTTGCAACGTATTCCATGAGCTCTTCCTCTACGTATTCCGTAATGTTCCCTTCTAAAATGGCCTTAAAGTACGCTTCTCCCCTTCCAGCGATACCGCAGGGTATTTCCTGTAATAGCAACCAATACCGGAGGTTTGAATGCTACCCTATAGGTATCAAATTTCTGACCGCCAGGAAATGATCCCATTTTCTGAATGCTATCCACGCTTGTACGATTCCCATATGTCCCGCAACGTGCAAGGCCATCGCTGTTGACATGAGCACTACTGCTTCCGTGATCAATGTGGATGCGGTCGCCGAAACGGCATTGGCCTGCCTGCCAGACCTCCGGACTGTTTGGTCGTTAGCCATGCGGGGTCTTGAAGGAAAAGGAAAAGCTTACCCCGTGGCAGTAGGGAACCGAACCGAACCTGCGTCAAGGTGAGGGATGGGGAACAAGGGAGACGTAGCATGCAGAAAGGAGGTTCATGAGTCCCACACAGGACCCCACCGCCGTGATGGAAGCCACAGGATGCGGTCGATCCGGATACAAATTGTCCGCAAAGCTTGCACACCGCCACCACCTGCCCACGTTAGCCCTTTTCCCCTAAACCGTTGCCGAAGCACACGTACCGAATTGAGAATGGTCAACGGCAGCTATCCAAGCGACGCCTGAAAAAACGCCGTCTTGCGATCCTCCCAGCTCGGCACAAACGGCATCCAAAACGCAAGCCCAACCATCGCACCCCAACCAGCAACCCCCTCAACCCCAACCTTCCTCACCACCGCCGCCACAAGTCCAAACGCAAACAACGCCAACGCCGTCCAACTTTTGCGGGCATTGGACCCCGCCATGGCGACGGCAAACACTACCCCCGCCACCACCATGTTATCGGTCCACCTGTACCCGTCAAACCCCCACCAGTTGGCTTTGAGGATCGCGGCGATGCCATTGTTGATGAGCTGGAGACCCGTGCCGAGCTGGATGCCGCGGATGAGGGGGAGAGGGAGGAGACGGGTGACGAGGCTGAGGGTCGGGTGGCCGAGAGGAAGAGGACCAGGGCTGAGACCCCGGCGCCGGCGGCGAGAAAGGGGGGGTGGTGAGGGGGACTGCGAGGGCGACGGCCGAGATGGCTTTCATGGGTTGGACGCAGATCTGGTGGGGTTTGTTAGAGGGGGAAGGGCGGGAGAGCTTACGGGGACGCGGAAGAGGAATCCGGCGGCAATGTTGAAGAGACCGCCAAAGACGAGGGAGGCGGACAGCGAGATTTGGCCGCCCTTGGAGAGACCCACGAGGATGGGGAGGAGGGTGCGAGGGACTCGAAGACTTCTTGGGGCGTAAGGTTGGTCCGGAAGAAACTGCAGCAAGGGAAGCGAAATTAAAGGCGGACAAGATGCCGAGGGTCTTTACACTGCGGTGATCGAAGCGATGGTGGTCAAGGGTCAAAAGACAGGTGGGATTTATGAAATAGTTGGTGCGCGATGCAAGCCACCTATCATACTCAGTATGCCCGGGTCTGCTGTTCAGCGCAAAGTGGTGTTCCGTCTCCTGTTTGGAAAGTGCGGCAAGGCGTGACGTTCAAACATCGTGTTTGAGTGGTACTGAGAGGACGAGAGGATGTTTTCAAAGACGGTAATGACGGTGGTTCTATGGAGTTTTCGCGATAGACCTCGTCTCAGCGGTGACGGCGTGGCAGTGGATGACGGCCTTATTCAAACCGACGAGGAACTCGGGCTGCATAATCACAGTCCCAAGACCATAGAGCCGTGCAGATACAACTGGCGGAAGGCGGGACGAAATGAGCCTTGACTCAAGTGCGAGGATTGAATGCTGACGAGGCCGTCGCGATCGTGGATGATACTGAGCGGGATGTTTGTATGTCGTCGGCGTCGGAGGGCAAGGCTGACATGGACGCGGTCGTGGAAATCGAGAGGGAAGCAAGAAGATGAGAGGGACGAAAGAAGAGAATTGAACGGGTCAAAGACATACCATTCTGATAGTTAGATAAGAAAACCGCGACCAGTTTCGCTTATCCTGGTCGGTGAGGGCAGGAGAAGGCTCGATGACTGATATCTTTCGACTGATTCTGTGTGCGTGAAGGGAGGTTAAAGGGCAGAGAGGATTGAGACGATGCGCAGAAGGTAGTGCAGGTATCGAAATCGTCGACCAGTGTCGTCCAAGACGAGTAGAACGGGGACAGAAAGAAAAGGGTCAGCTGTGGGGATAGAATGCAAAGTTACAAACGGGAAGGATGGTGGCTTACCGTTAGGCCAGCATGTGGCTCTTTTCCGCTCCAGCCTCCAGGAACGAGGTGACAGCATCTGTCACTGACTGTGCTTCGAAGACGGTCAATCAAGACTCGTCCATCGAGGAACGTCATCGATCAATGACCGTCTTGGCTGGCGTTGGCGGGTTCGATGGTCTGCAAGGACTGGCAGGAAGGGCAAACAGTGACCATGGCCACCAAATCCTTTGACAGGACTGGATACCCATAAAAAAAAACCTGGAAAAAAATAACCTTGGTGTAACCAGATCCTATGATCTTGGAGAGAAATCTTGTGAGGTCACCAAGATTTCTGGTGAGCTCACCAAGTTTCTGGTGAGCTCACCAGAACTCTGGTGACCTCACAAGAGTTCTGGTGAGCTCACCAGAAATCTTGTGAGCAGTTGGTGAGCTCACAGGATGACGACTCCCCTCTCCTGCGAGGTCTTCCACCCCTATCCTGCGAGGTCTTCCAATGCCCAGTTATTCACTACAGACTGATGGCACTCACTAGGAAAGGTAGATGATGATGAGCCGTCTGGTACAAAGGAAAGGTGATCATCCCGGCCTGGCTCAATGATAACCGAATAACCGAATAATCGAAAAGATTTGCTCGCTCAACAATAACCGAAAGATTAACAAAAATTAGAAAAAAATTTTTTGAACCAATCAGAACTTTGCTCATCAGGCAAGCGAGGAAATAAAGGCCGGAGGGGAACGCTCTACCACTGAGCTACACGAGCAAAATTATCCGGAAGGGCCCAACCGGGAATTGAACCCGGGACCTCCATCACCCGAAGATGGAATCATACTACTAGACCATTGGGCCGGATTATCCGGTTAGCACCTCCAGGTTTCGATCCTGGGACCTCGGAGTTATGAGCCCCGCGCTCTTCCCCTGAGCTAAGGTGCTA